CACTTTTTTGCAATTTATGTAATTACTATGCACTTAATGCAGGCATATTATTACAATTTAGGCTGTAATGGTTGTATTGGTGTATAGCAACTTGAAATGCTCCCATAAATGGCACTACAACATGTAAAAATATAATATAAGCTCTGGCGGACTTGGTTCTATGGTAGGTCTTAAAGGGTTAAGCACCATCCATTCCCCGACCTATATGATCTAGGCATGTTGGGACTTCTGTGTGACAGCCCTGACCAAGGTTAATAACTTAGACTCTGCTTTAGCTTTTGGAACTGATGAAGCCAAAGCTGGAACCTCTTCAGGAGCCTGAAAGAAGTCAATTGACCATCGACTGGAGCACTTTAGACTACTCATAGAAAGAATAAAAGTTTAATTCTAAGTAAACAATATTGATGTTTAACCTTTTACCTGGACTTTTCTTTTTTTTTTGGTTGTGTGATGTGACTTAAAGCCTGAGTGCACTTTTAAGGCTTAGCTAGCATTGGGCCGCTGTGAGCGTTTAATCGTTGTACTCGGGTACAAAGGAAACTGAAAAGGTTTATTGGAGTCTATGAGGAGTGACTTACCTCTGGAGCCAGCCTAAAGTGGCTGCTAATGAGAAAGTTCTGAAGCATCTGCAAACAGTTAGTCTAATTCTGTTCAGTTCAGTTTTATTTCTGTAGTGCCAAATCTCAACAGTCACCTCCAACAGCATGTCAGCACATTTTGGTAATCTCACCTTTTCTGTCTGGTTTCTGCTGCTGCCAGACAAAATTCCCCTTCATCACAATTAAAAACTGAAATCTCCTGCAGTGTGTAGAAAAAGTTACTTCTTGATAAACTGAATGTAAACTGCAGGGGTTGTGTGGGAGCTCAGAGCAGCTCTGAGTTCAGTTTAGAGTTTCATGCTTTGAAATGAAGTATTTCTGCTTCTCTTGTCCATCCATCCATAAACCTGTTGTCCTGCTGCTCAGACTGATGCAGAGACGAGTGGGAGGAGGAGGAGGGGACGAGAACTCACTTATTTGCCATGGAAATGTCCCCATGGCAACCCACAGCAGCCAGCGGAAGCTAAAATGGCTGTGTGTGTGTGTGTGTGTGTGTGTGTGTGTGTGTGTTTCCCTGGTGCTTCCCTGCCTGGCACACAGACAGGATGTAGGCGGTGTTGTGGGCGGCGACCTTCAGGCCTGTGCGTCATGCTTCATTGGAAGAACACTTAGCAGGAAGCGTTATGTAATAACACCTGAGCAAATGAGGTTCATGCAGGTTCCTCTGTGTGAGGGCCGAGGAGTCCGGAGCTCACCGGGGACTGCTGTCAGGCCTTTACAAGGCGAGCAGCTGAGCACCGTTCAAACCTAAACAACTTTATTTAAAAGGCAGTTTTGCAGCAGCAAAAGGACTTCTATTGTGAGCTCCAGCAGTTTTCCTTGTGTCAGCTTAGCTGTACTGCGGCGACAACCAGATAAATGGTAAATGGCCTGTATTTGTATAGCACTTTTCTAGTCCCTAAGGACCCCAAAGCGCTTTACACAACCAGTCATCCACCTATTGGTGATGGCAGCTACATTGTAGCCTGGGGCGCACTGACAGAGGCTGCCGGACATCCACCAGTCATCCACCTATTGGTGATGGCAGCTACATTGTAGCCTGGGGCGCACTGACAGAGGCTGCCGGACACTGGCACCACTCTGACCACCACCAGTAGGCAACGAGGACACAACGACCGAGACTGTCCAAGCTGGGGCTTGAACCAGCAACCTTCTGATTACAAGGCGAACTCCCAACTCCTGAGCCACGATCGCCACGATGCGTTCTGTAGTTTTTAAGCAGGTGTAACTCGAGCTATCAGACCTGCTCTTATATCATTTTCCATTTGTATTCATGTAAAGCTTCTATAATTAAATTATAGAATTATAGAAGCTGTTGGTAAAATGGTAAATTTACCATTTTAAATTAAATTATCATTTGATTTCTTGAATAAGACATCTCACAATGTGAAATACACAAATAACTGTACCAACAGATCCAACATTGGGTTAAAAATAATCCAACCAAACTCAGCAGGTCACATGAACCTTTGAAATTAAAGTTTCTATTAAACATCACGTGCTGTGGAGTGGCCTCTCCATCTCCGAGAGCAAAGTTCTGACATCCAGGAGAGCCTTCAGCTGTCTGAAAGGTTGGATCTGAAATTACCTTCCACTAGCTGTGCTTGGGTCAAAAGATGACTAACAAGAACACAACTCTGACATCTGCTTGCATGAATGACCGGAATGAGAATTTAAAAAGGATACATGATTAGTGTAGAGAGGACTTTCTGAACTGTTGGTGAGGATCTCAGTGAGTAGGCAGTAAGGAGGCTCTGATGGTTAATCCAACGCTTGGATTTTGGTAGGACAGTTAGAAGTGCAGCTTACTCAAAAAATGTGCTGCAAATTTAAACACAGAAAAGTACTGAAGGACTTTGTCTTAAAAACCTACTCGGGCAAGTTTATTCTTTGAGGAAAACTTTAAGTCCTCATTAGATCTGACACAAATCAGTCCTGGATGGCTCTGCAACAACAACCTGCTTTTTATTTCCTGTTATATGGTCTTGAAGGCTGTTATGGGCACTTTAAAGACACTTCAAAGACAAACTTTGTGAGCTCAATTCACGCAGCTCGTCTAATCTAGTTTAAGGCAGTACAACCTTATCAGCAAGATTTCCTATACTGTCCAGGAGGAGAGCATTCTTGCACTGTAAATTGTAGGGCTTTTATTGTGAAGGGTAATAACAGGAGGATGCATATATTACACATTTGTATGGATGCAGCACTGACAGCTCCTCATGTTTTAGTTTCTGTTCTGTGGAGCTGAAAAACACTATCAAAGCCTCACAGGCTGACATGTGCCACATGTCATTTACTTTGATCAGCGTTTTAGTTTCATCCCCCTATTTCTTGACATTTGTCTGAGTTTTACTCGATGTAGTACCAACACGTTCCTCCTGAGATGTTCCCAGACCTGATGGAACATACTTTATAATCCGTCTGCTCGCTTTCCAGTCAGGAATGGCTTCCATGAGCCATGATGATCACTACCAAGAGCTCAGGATAATCAACAAGGGTTGCAGCAAATTAATGTTGAGCGCCAGTTGATTACTTAGTATAATTTAAACTTTGAATTTGAGAGGCAGCAGCTGAACTCAGGCTTTAAGAGGAGAGTCGAGTGGGTGTTTTAGAAGTTCAACCCTCGTGAAGCTCATCTGATACATGAAAAAAAATCCAGCAGTGCTTTTTAGTGAGGATGAAAGAGATAAACAGACGCACAGCAGCGGCACGCTGATTTCTCTGATTCATTGAACACCAGTCATCACCTGCTTCTCTGTTGCCGTGGTGATAGACTGAATGCACTCACACACACACAAAGAAATCACAGCACTACGTTTGACCCATTTGACCCGACACAAATGTGTGTTTATGCGATGTTATCACAATGGTAACAGAAGAGTCCAAGGCAGCTCATACTCAAGAATGAATGATGAGTATGTGTGACAGCAGGCTCAGTCAAATGAGGATGTCTTTCAAACATATCTTGGAGGAGCTGGTAGAGATCTTTAAGATTGCTTCTTAATCCCAGACCAACTCCATGATTGTTAGGATGGGACTCTGTGTGGGGTAATACCATCTCTTATTCTCTGGTTGCATCTAAAGATCTAAAGTAATCAGGATGACTTCCATCTTTTTAGGTTCCCACGTCCACCACAGAGCTCAGCACGATGCTACTTCCTCGGCCTTCGTCCATGCAGGACTCGGAGCGCAGGGGCAGGGCAATGAGTGCTGCCAGCTACCTCACCGACGTCATGGAAGGTGAGAAGCAAAGTGAGCCACGCTAATTTGAATGCAGGGCACACACACTAAATATGATGCGAGTTGTTATAAACCAGGGTATGAATTCAGTATATTTAACCCTACAATAGCAAAAACACGTGGGATTCCTCATCAGCTTCTACAAGTGTTTAAGCTTCTCAGATGAGAATTGAAGCATCTTCATTACCTTCATTAAGAAGTCCAGCTCCCATCAGTTTAGCTACCAGCATGCTTCTGTCCTGGGGCCTCCACATGGTTAAGGTGTGGAGAGCAGCAGCAGGTTTCTTAGCTTCTTAGCAGACACCAAAGTCAGGGTTGCAAAGTGGCTTGCAGATGTGGCATGAGCCGTAGGCTGGCTAAAATAGCTTAAACTGAGTTTAAACTTTAGCTGATGTTCTGCTGAGCTTTCTGAATTAATGGTCCACCGTTTGTTCTTTTAGAGGGAATAATTCAGCTGCTATAATTCATTGACTGAGTTTAATGGAGGCATTTTAATGTCTGTTTTCATGCCCGTGCCCTTGTTTTTGCATCTGCAATCGACTTTGCAAACCGCTTTGATCCCATCTCCTTGTTTCATGCTGTACTGTATCTGACTTAATGTGATAGTGGTTGCATTTATATGACAGTGTTAGTGTAGAACAGATGGCAAAGTGGGGAAAGAGAGAAGGGAAATGACACACAGCGAATGACCAGGGGTGGAGTTGAATCCAGGCTGCTGCCTCGGTGCATGGGGCATGTGCTCTATCAGGTGGAAAAAATACAGATCACACAACTTATTGATTCTACACGTGCAGTTTTTATGCCCCGGTGACCATAGAAATCAATACTAAGTCTTTATCCACGTTCATTTAGATGGGGACTTCCTAATATTATCCCAAATACCCGCTCAGCTGAGGCTGAGTGGTGAGACTTCTTTGATTTATTTAGCAGACTTTGATAGCAGCGAAACAAAGTGAAGCTAATCTTAATCATTCTTAAAATAATCCCACACAGGATTAAATGGATTTCCTTTCTTTACAGAAGCTTCTGTTTCACTTCATTTCTACCAAAAGGCAGAGCGATTTAAAACTGGCTCATTACCTGGAAAAAACAAGTTTCTGCATCAGCTCCAGCATCCTTTCACGTTTTATGTGTTTGCGCTTGTGTGTCAATATGGGACTGTAACCTTGCCTGACTTTGTGTCTCAATATGTGTGTGTTTGTGTGTGATTGTGTAACCACGTATTTGTCTGAATTATAACGCTTTTGTGGGTGCGAGAGAGGAGCGTGTGTGTAGCTGTGTCTGAGTTTGCTTCAAAGACTGTGTGTGTGTGTGTGTGTGTGTGTGTGTGTGTGTGTGTGTCGCTGCCCTAGTCAACCCCAGGGGAACACAGGCTTTGTTTGCGCCAGGGACTTGGGAAAAGGGAGAGAGACACAGAGAGAGAATGATAGAAACAGAGAGGGAGAGAGTGTTATCCTGGTCACCCTCATTAACCGTGAGATCATTCCAACTTCCTGTGTGTGTGTTTGTACGTGTGTGTGTATGATATCGGTGTGTTACATTTCTGGATTCATATCAAATCTGCACCCGTGTGTGTTCTAAGCGTGTGCGTGCGTGTGATAGGTCTGCTGAGTCACAGTCTCTCCCCTCGGCAGTCGCTGCTCTTACAGAACAGATCATTATACAGGAAAATACAAAATCCCACTGCTGTCCTCCCTGCATCCATCTGCACACCCTTCATCCCTCCGTCCCTTCTCGGCTCCACTCTTTGATTTATTCATGTCATTTTTAAAATTATCATCTGTTTCCCAGGAGACTTTCCTTCAATTTAAAATAAGCTTTATGAATTTATTTTGCATGGTTTAACTTGAGCTCTTCTTTGGATTGAAAAAAATAAAAACAGCACTACGATCCAAAATGTTCTTACCAGTTCAGATTAACTAAGCAATCACTAGGTGGCGTTTGGTTGTATGGAGGGGAAAAAAGTGCAAAAATAAAATAGAAATATTAAAATAAATCCAAACATAAATTGTAATTTTATAAATATTTGCTTCAATTTACTTCTGCATTCTGCATTAGCTATGATTTTGTCATAATTACAAACTATTCAAAGTACGTCTGGTAATAGTCGGGAAACCTACACGGAGGGAGTCATAGGGCATTTTCACAACTGAAAAACAATTTTGTTAAAACACTGTAACCAAATCAATTTTACACCCACTCCAAGTGTCTCAGCTCAAAGAATAAACAATCAGTTCAGCATAATTTTAATAAACTGCATGAAGATGATGTCAGTGATGAAGGGGAACAGAGACGTTCGTAAATGGTCTGGTTCTTATAGAGCGCTTTTCTACTCAAAGCGCTCTATACAACACGCCACATTCACCCCATACACACCCATTCACAGAAGCACTATTATCTATATGGTGAGTGCTTTCTAAATATCATTCATACGCATTCATACTCCAATGGATGCATCAGAGAGTAAGACGGATATTTCATGTCCAAGGATATTTGGCATGAAAACTGGGATCAAACCACCAACCCTCCTGAACTACAGCCACCCCACCTCGTACCTGAGGAGTTTCTGATGGTTCACTGCAGAAAGTTTGGCTCAACTTTAGTTAGCTGCTTAAAACAAGTTATACCATATGGAAAGTTTTTACTTAATACGAGGTTCATTTTTCAGCCATGACTCTTTTTGTGTGAAAATCATTTTCTAATCTGATCACATGTTAACTGTAAATGTAGCTCAAAGCTGTGAAATGGAGAAACAATAACAGCGTTCACGTTTGATATATCAGTTTGGAGATTTCCCAACATTCAGACAACTTTTGGTCCTGAAGAAGGTTTTCATGAACCTTGAAGGGCCTGGATAATTTTATCTGATGCCATAATCGGAAATGGTGATGAAGAAGTGCAAAGAGAGCATCTATCGATCCTCGCTCAGCTCATGTAAATGTCTCTATAAGGGCTCTTTTACAAAGAACAGTTTGGGAGTGCGACTCCTCTCACTGCTGCCATAATGCCGTCGGTCATCACACTGACACCAGAGGACACCTTGTAAACATTTAGGAGTACTCCAGCCCTGTGACTTTTCACAGTCGGCATTTTCGAGGCTCCGTCACTGAACGAGACGCTTTTTTACTTTAAATAAAAGGCTGCAAATCCGCCAGTGCTTTTTTTCATAACGTGCCTTCACTGTTTGTTTTACTGATCTTCTGATTAATTATTTCATGTGTTCAGGACTGTTTGCCATCAAGCTTTGTGCCACACAGCACAAGTATTTCTGTTATCATTGTTGTTATCGACCAACATAACTACAGGTAATGCAGTCTGAGCCTCTGCTCCACAAGTATTTATATAGAAACAGCTTCAGATTGTAACACAACAGATACATTTATCAGTCCAAAATTCCTTTTAGACCAGTCTTTGTTCCTATTAACCCTAGAACACTATCGCTATAAATAGTAACACGATCACTAATGCCGGGTGATTTTTACCCGATATAATATAACCAATGAAAAGTAATCAAATATATCAAAATATGACAACACATGACAAATTAGAGTGGTCTTCTTTTACTTTCAACTGTGCCATGTCTAACAAAATGAAAAATAAAACTCCTAAAACAAAATAATGACTCTGGAAAGCTGGTCTTTGGTCCACCTATTCCTGGGACATTTGAGACTTCCCTGGTGATGGCACAGGCTCCTCGACACGCAAACAGCTGCAGGAGAGAGAAATCATGTAAATGTATTTTCTCGGGTGTAATTCACCCAGCGATAGTGTTCTAGGGTTAATAATCACATTTATCCATTGATTGGTATTCTTTTCACCTTGCCTCCATCATGCTGTATCCGAATCATCTCTTGACTTAAATCACTTCTGTTCTTGTTTTAATCGAGCAAAATGTTAGATCAGAGTCAAAGTCGGCAACAATCCCAGCAGATCAGCTGATCTTAAAGATAATTTGAGCAAATTTTAAGCCAAATCTCGTCTTTTAGGCTTGCTATGTATTAATTTGTCATCTGTTTCAGTCATCATTACACCTGGAAAATCATACACAGGGCCCAGTATTTTTGCACCTTTAGTCTGTTCCACAATCAGCTTTGTAACTTATCCCTTTCCCAGCTTCTCAGTTGTTCCGTTTCCAGCTTAACCAGTGTAACTTTGTTTATGCAGAAGGAAACCTCCTGACCACATTTTGTTTCCTGTGCAGAACTGGAGGAATCCCATAAGAAGTGTCACCCCTGCTGGTACACGTTTGCCCACCATTACTTGGTTTGGGAGTGCTGCCCTATGTGGCTTAAGGTGAAGCAGCTGGTGAAGATCATGGTGATGGACCCTTTCCTGGACCTCGCCATCACCGTCTGCATCGTCCTCAACACGCTCTTCATGGCCATGGAGCACTACCCCATGACTGATGAGTTCAATGGCATGCTCACCATCGGGAACCTGGTAGGAACAATGGATGAATGAATGCGTGGATGCTTGGTGGGAAAGCAGTAAAGCATGGTTATTGGTGGAGATATGTGGGTGAGAGACACATAGACACAGGTGCACTGTTCACCCAAAACAATCACAGAAATACAGAAGCAAACAAGATCAGATATTTGCAGAATAATCAGCTCAAAAACTGCTGCTTAACAAAGGCTCACAAACTGAACCTAAATAACAGATGGGGAAACCCCATAAAGGTAAAGGGGGAAACCACAGGGACCATAAAGAAGCCCCATTTCCCCCTGTGCTTATAGCAGATGGTTTATTTTGCCCTTGAGGCCTCTTTATTTATAACAAGCCCCACCCTCTGCCTCCTCTTTTAATAAACCAGGAATGACTGGAGCAGCAGACAGGTAACTCAAAAGAGAGGAAAAAGTAATTAACGCAGCTCATGAAAGATGAAACATCGTGAACCAATTGCTTGAGCAACATTAAATGATTATTTGCAGCCCTGTCATGTTTAAATTTGTTTGTCTGAGCTCATTTAAACTGGATCTGAAGCCCACACTGTTGTCTAAACCTCCATTTAACAGCTATACATTTAAATGTTTCCTTAATGTTTAACTAATAGTTTTAACAGGTTATCCACACTTTAACCTTCAAGAACCTACTAGGAGTAACCCCTGAAGCTCTTTTGTGAACTGAGCGCTTTCTATTATATTTCAGGCCTGGTTATAGGACAATTACTGTGTGTTCATGAGGATGGTCTGTCTATGGAGGTATTATTTGAAAAACCTGGAAATTATTCTATTGGTCGTCTTTATGGATATATACTATGGTATCAGAACTCGTCATTAAGAATAAAGGTGAGGAAATTTGTAATTAAAATTTAAATCCATACTATTTGTTACGGAGCCCCGCAGGGGACATGGGACAAAAAAAATTAAGACGGACTTTTGCGAGATCTCGCAAAACTAACTCGGGATCTCGCAAATGTTTTGCGAGATCTCGCAAAACTAACTCGGGATCTCGCAAAAGTTTTGCGAGATCTCGCAAAACTAACTCGGGATCTCGCAAAAGTTTTGCGAGATCTCGCAAAACAAACTCGGGATCTCGCAAAAGTTTTAGCCGC